GTCCTTTGAATTTAATGTTTTTGCTTTTTCTAAGAGCATATTAGCAAATTCAATATCTATAAAAATAAATAATAATATTAAACAAAAATATTTTTTACCACTTCATAGTTATAAATTTTAAGTGTTCCTGGCAATTTATTTTGTTATTAAATATTTTTTAATGACAACACTAAAAAAAATTATGCCGAAAATGTTATTAAATTCATATTACTCATATAATTATTTAAATCATGGTCAGGTAATTATAATTAACTATTTAATATTGAAGTAATACCTTCATAAGCACGATTATAATCTTCTTTCCCTACTTCTATTGTATATTCAATATTTGTTGATTCATCAAGCAATTTCAACATCAACAACTGTTGTCGATTGCATTTAACATGTGAAACTTTGGATTCCACAAATCGTTTCATTTTGTAATATGTGTACTTGTTTAACAGTAATGATGCAAAAAAGTCTGTAAATATATGTATATATATTATACTTAAGAAGCAATAATTTATAAATTTGTGAAAAATAATTTATAAAAATAATAAATTATAAGGCTCCATACCCACACGGAACAAAATATCTGTTAGATATCTATTCAATATCCTCATATCCATGAAGGGATATCCACAGAAATGTAATAGACATCTAGTAGACATTCTCTAAATATCCAAATGTCCGCAATTCGATATCTCAAAAATATCCATAAGATATCCAAAGGAATGTCTACTAGACATCCAGTTCACATCGAATAGATATGTACAGAAATATCCAATGTCCACTAGACATTCTGTTTACATCAAATAGATATCTATAAAAATATCCAATGTCCATTAGATATCCTGTTCACATCGAATAGATATCTACATAAGTATCCAATGTCCACTAAACATTCTGCTCACGTCAAATAGATATCTACAAAATATCCAATGTCCACTAGATATCCTGTTTATATCGAATAGTTATACATAAATATCCATTGCACTATATATTGATATCCATTATATATTTATATGGATGAGTATAGGATGCCTGGGCCCATATTCTGTACACGGCTATCGACAGTTATCAGTGTTGTTAAGTAGCAATAGCCAATAAGAATCGCACTTTTCTCCTAGAACAGTCCTTACCATTGGCTATCGCTATTTAACGACACTGACAACTGTCGGTAGATGTGTACAGAATATGGGCCCTGGATTCTCTCATGCTTCGACATGATTGGTGAAAAACTGAAGATGGGGATACAATTTATTATATCACTCGTTTTTTACGCTAATTCATCAATCTATGCTCGTGTCAAAGCACCGGTCTCTGCATGAGAATTTAGGTTAAGAATTGACTGCATTGAGTGATTTATTATTTGTTACAAATCATTTATTATTTATTATACAATATAAAACATCAATACAATTATATATATATATATATATACATATATA